ACGCAGTGGCTCATGCCTATAATCCCAGCACTTTGGGAGGCTGGGCGAGTGGATCAAGAGAGTTTGAGACCAGCCTAGTCAACATGATGAAACCCAGTCTCAACTGAAAATACAAAAATTAGCTGGGCGTGGTGGCATGCTCTGTAATCCCAGCCACCCAGGAGGCTGAGGCAGGAGAATTGCTTGAACCTGGGAGGCAGAGCTTGCAGTGAGCTGAGATCTCACCATTGCACTCCAGCCTGGGCGACAGAGCAAAACTTGGTGGGACACAGGGGGTCAGGCCTGTAATCCAGCACTTTGGGAGATCGGGGCAGGCGGATAACAAGATCAGGAGATTGAGACCATCCTGACCAATATGGTGAAACCCTGTCTCTGCACAAAATACAAAAATTAGCTAGGTGTGGTGGCAAGTGCCTGTAATACCAGTTACTCAGGAGGCTAAGGAAGGAAAATCGCTAGAACCCAGGAAGCAGAGGTTACAGTGAGCCGAGATCACAGCACTGCACTCTAGCCTGGTGACAGAGTGAAACTCTATCTCAAACAAACAAAGAAACAAACAAAAAGCAAAGACAAAGCAAGACTCTGTCTCAGGGGAAAAAAAAAAAAGAACAAAAATAAATAAAATACATATATAGGAGGCTGAGGCAGGAAAATCGCTTGAACCCAGGAGGCAGAGGTTGCAGTGAGCTGAGATTGCGTCACTACACTCCAGCCTGGGCGACAGAGCAAGATTCCATCTCAATCAATCAGTCAATCAATAAGAAGTACTCAAGCAGAACCTGAATTCCAGCAGAACAGCTGATGCCAACCAGTTTGAAGACCCCCCAACCCCCACCCAAAGGAACCAAATCAGCATGAGAACACCCTGCTTCACCCTGCTCTCCTTGACAAACCAACAATCTCCACTCTTCGGCCCACTCTAAAACCCTTGAAAACCCTAGCTGCAAACTCAACAGGGAGGCAGATTTGGTTTCCTCCAGTCTCCATGTCCTGTGGTCCTAGGATTAAACCTTTTCCTCTGCTGCAGCCCGCTGTCTTGGTGCACTGACTTGCTGTGCACATCTGATGATGACCCTATTCTGGTCATGTATCCATCTTTGCAATGCATTTACAGAGTCAAATTAGAATTATTTTGGTTCTAAGCTACAGAAGGCAAACTCAAACTAATTTAAGCAAAAATGAATAAATAAATACAGTATTGGTGTGTATACTTGGAATAGGTCACATGCTAAAGGGAAAAACTAGTGAAATCAAGTTGTCAGGACTTTACTCTGAGACTCCACATCTTCATCACTGTCTCATCTCTCCCTGTGGTGAGGAAGATGGTGCTGGCTGCCAGCAATTCATGCTGTCTTAGCTTAGTACATCTCAATCCCAGATGGCTCCTGCTTTGGTACTGCCTGGCTGCAGTAGAAACAAGGCCCAGGTCAGGCCAGTGAGAGCCCGCCCTGGGTCTTTGGCTGGAACCATTAGGAAAGAAGTACCTTCTCTAAGTGGAGAAGCTGGTAGAATCTAAGCCTGCAGGTATTGGTGGCATCTTTTCTGCCTGTGTGAGACCAGGAGAGAGAGAGTGAAGAGCAGGGTGGAGGGTGGGAGGTGAGATCGATTCTTGATTCCACCTTGCAATGTCTGAATGGTTCAGCCATGTGACACTTGGATATGTCAATTCCCTCTTTTTTACAAAGCCTATTGAGTTGTGAGTTTCATAACTTGCAATGGGAGGCCTAATGTGAGGGACACTTTGATCTGGGTCTGAAAGGGTGAATAAGCATTTTGCAGGGTTATTTTCAGATATGCAGAAAGAACAGGGCACGCACAGCAGAGCCACCATTGAACCCTCCTGGTGGTAGCAAGTCTCCCCAGAGGGCTCCAGTAAGTCCACCCGCCCTGCATGTGCACACGGCTCTCCACAGCTCCTGAATCTGGCTTGGGCTGTGCCTGCTTTAATTAGCAGAATACTGCAGTGGCCTTCTTCAGAAGCCTTGGCAGCTTTGGTTTCCTCTTGGAGCCCCTGGTTGTCATGTAAGAAGTGCAGGATGACCTCCTGCTGGAGAGAGGAGTCACACACAAAGGCTGAAGGATAGGATGAGACACTGCAGGGGGAGGCCTCATTAGGGGGCACTGAGGTGCCAGATGTTCAACACCCAGCTGCCACCTATGGCACAGGCATGAGGCCCCAAGGGAGAGTATCAGACTCATGAGATACAGTAAAACTGTTGCTTTATGCTACTGAGTTTTTTGATGTGCAACAAGACCTCCCCTCCTCCATATACACCATGCCAGTCACAAGGGAATAGCTCCCTCTGTTTTTTTTTTTTTTTAAATACAGAGTCTTGCTCTGTTGCCCAGGCTGGAGTGCCATGGTGCAACCTTAGCTCACTGCAACCAACCTCTGCCTCATGGATTCAAGTGATTCTCATGCCTCAGCCTCCCAAGTAGCTGGGATTATAGGTGCCTATCACCAAGCCTGGCTAATTTTTTTGTATTTTTAGTGGAGATGGGGTTTTGCTATGTTGGCCAGGCTGGTCTCCAACTCCTGGCCTCAAGTGATCTGCCCGCCTTTGCCTCCCAAAGTATTGGGATTAAGGTGTGAGTTACCTCGACCGGCCAAGAGTAGCTCCCTCTGGCCCTACAAATTACAAAAAAAAAGCACCAAGCCTGGAGCACAGGCGGCCAGGGCACTCACACAAGCAGGAGAGGCCCTGCAGGATGACTGTCCCATCGGCCCTTCAGCCTGGATGCTCTGTACAGCACAGGGCTGCATGACTCCCTCTGCCTGGGGTTGGAGGAGGCTCTGGAGGGATGGCCACAGGCAGCTTGCTGGTCTGCAGGTGTTCTTCCTGACTCCTGGGCTTTTGCATTGCCCTCCTTTTGCACAGTGTCCTGTGGCCCTAGAGGCATGGGCTGTCACTACTGATGTCATGGCAGTGCCAAGGAATGACCATCCCAACACCATGCTGGGGAGAGGGAGATCATCTTGATCTTTTATTTTTTTTAATTTAATTTTTTCTTTTTCTTTTTTTTTGAGACGGAGTTTCGCTCTTGTTACCCAGGCTGGAGTGCAATGGCGCGATCTCGGCTCACCGCAACCTCCGCCTCCTGGGTTCAGGCAATTCTCCTGCCTCAGCCTCCCGAGTAGCTGGGATTACAGGCACACGCCACCATGCCCAGCTAATTTTTTGTATCTTTAGTAGAGACGGGGTTTCACCATGTTGACCAGGATGGTCTTGATCTCTTGACTTTGTGATCCACCCGCCTCGGCCTCCCAAAGTGCTGGGATTACAGGCGTGAGCCACCGCGCCCAGCTTTCTTTTCTTTTTTAAAGATGGGTTTCACCATGTTGGCCATGCTGGTCTTGAACTCCTGACCTCAGGTGATCCACCCACCTTGGCCTCGAAAAGTGCTAGGATTACAGGCGTGATCCACCGGGCCTGGCCCATCTTGATCTTTGAGCAGCTTTTGTCCCTCATCCTTTCCTTGCCCTTCCAGCCAGGTCTCCACCATCCCAGACTACAAGAACCCATTTCCCACATCCCCAGCTCAAAACAGCCTTCAATGAAGTAGAAGCTTTGGTTTGTTGCTACTGTTGGTTCCTGGAACCTGTCTCACTCTCATTTCTTTAGGGTTGATTTTCCAGGAAGCAGTTAGCAACCTATCCTAGTCTGCCACATAGGTGGGCAGGCAGATATTCATTTTCCTACCCTTTAGCACATACCTCGAATTTTTTTTTTTTTTTTAGACGGAGTCTTACTCTGTCTCCAGGCCGGAGTGCAGTGGCAAGATCTCGTTTCACTGCAACCTCGCCTCCCAGGTTCAAGCGATTCTCCTGCCTCAGCCTCCCGAGTAGCTAGGATTACAGGCGCCCGCCACCACGCCCAGCTAATTTTTTGTAGTTTTGGAAGAGACGGGATTTCGCCATGCCTGTCAGGCTGGTCTCAACTCCCGATCTCAGGTGATCCGCTCGCCTCGGCCTCCCAAAGTGCTGGATTACAGGTGTGAGCCACCGCACCCGGCCAAAAATACAAAAAAATTAGCCAGATGTGGTGGCGGGCGCCTGTAGTGTAGTCCCAGCTACTCGGGAGGCTGAGGCAGGAGAATCACTTGAACCTGGGAGGCGAGGTTGCAGTGAGCCGAGATCTCACCACTGCATTCCAGCCTGGCGACAGAGTGAGACTCCATCTCAAACAAAACAAAACAAGTCTGTTGGGTGTTATTCTTGGCCCTAGACTGTGAGCTTACTCAGGGCAGGGTGGGGTCTGATTCATCTCTGTGCCCTGAGCATCAGTCAAGTAATATTTCCCAATGTAAGCATCATGAATCAGCCAGTCGTGCCCTCCTTCAATCACCAGAGTTTGCCCTGAACAGAACATCTTGATCTTTGAACGCCGCAGCTCCTGTCCATTACTCAGGCTAGGACCCCAGCACCAAAACTGTCCATTAATGTACCGGAATGAATTACCACTAATGGACTGAAACGGGCTATTAACTTATTTTTTTCTGCAAAATTGAGAAAGGAATAATTATTCGACTGCTCACGATTGAATGTCTTGTCTTTAGGCAGAGCAAAATACTGTCTATGGTCAAAAATCTGTTTCGACGTGATTGACAGGTGAAGGCCTAAGGAAAAGGAAGAGGAGAAAAGGGGAGGAGGATCAAGGAAAAGAGGGAAAGGGGAGATAAAAGTGGACAACCCGAGGCGGAAAAAGAGCTAGATGAAAAATGAAGGAGCGCTAAGGAGAGGAGAAAATAGAAGCGCCAAGGAAGGAAAGGAGCGAGGAGAGCGGGCAGAGAAGGAGAGGATAGATGGACGGAAAGACGAAGGGAGGGAGGGCGGGAGGCGGGGAGGGGAGGCAGGGTCCTCAGCGCGCCGGGCCGAGCCACCGCTCCCCAGAGCGGGGGTGAGCAGGCGGGGCCGGGGCAGCGGCGTGCCGGGAGCGACCCCTGCACCGAAGGCTGGATGGTTGCGCCTGAAGGCGGCGGCCAATGAGCGGCCGGGATGTTGGAGCGGAGGCGGTCCGGGCGCTCGCTGGCTGAGAGACGGCAGCCACCGCCATGATGCTTGTTTGCTGTCAATGAAAGCGAGGGGGGCGCGGAGGAGGAGGCGTCGGCGTCGGTGGCGGCGGCGTCGGCGGCGCGGAGGCGAAGGGGGCGGCGGGCGCAGCGAGGAGGGCGAGGCCGGGGGCCCAGAGGGCGCGAGGGCGTAGTGGCCGCCCGTAGGGGCGGCTGAGGCGGGCGGCTGAAGTAGGGGGAACAAAGAGCGGCAGCTAAGGCGGTAGAGGAGCGGCGGCGACGGCGCTGCAGCAACGGGCGGGACTGGTATGGTGGTTCCACAGGTCAGACCGCGCTGCACTCACAGGGAGGAGGCGGCGGCAGCGGCAGAGGAAGGCGGCGCACCCCGAGAGGTGAGCGGTTAGCGAGGCAGGCCCGAGGCCCGGTTGGGGCGCCGCTCTCCGCTCCGGCTGCGCACGGATCCCCCATCGGCTGGGCTCCTGGGCCCCAGAGCGTGCCGGGCTCGGTCGCGGGCAACTTTAGTTTCTTGGGCGGCGATCCCAGCAAGCTGGAGGCTGTTGGTGGGGGGGGCCCTTCGACGTGCCGCGATCCCGCCCCGCCCCGCCCCGGGCCGAGTCCAGGGGCTGGGGGCGTTGATTGACGGCGGCGGCGGCGCGCGGTGAGGAGGGGGCCGGCGCTGGGCTCCCGGATCCCAGCCAATCCCGGCTGCGGTCGCCAGAGGAGGCGAGTCCATGTCCCTGAACTCGTGGCCAAGATGGGTGGCAACTTTTGAGGAGCGCTCTGTGGATGGCGTGCTGCGTGGTGTGGAACTTGGCACTTCGTAGCGGCAATTACTGTCAAGCGAGAAACCAACTGTTTATCCCCTCCCCCAAAATGTTTTTAAAATTCAGTTTAACGCAGATTTTGTGGGGAGAGGACGGGGTGGATTACAGGTTAAAGAAGCACTTAGCATGCAATGAAGAGATTTATGGTATTGCTAAGGATTTGGAGATTGTACTGGTTTCTTGAAGCAGCTTTCTCTGGTAACCCAAATTACATCCCTCCTTTTTTCCCAACACTAATCGTTGCTTTCTTTGGAAACTCTTCCGTTGACTCTTTACCTCCTTCACCTTCCTTGAAGAGCTTGCTAACAACACCTGTAGCCTTACTTCTGTTTTTAACCGTTATTGCCATTGACAACATTGTGAATGGTCATCTCGCTTGACCTTCTTGGATTTGTTGTTACTGTGTTAAGCTGGTGTGTTTTAGATAATATGTTTGAATTTGAGTTCCATACTTACCTGTTTTCCAAGTGGATTGTCTCATTGTTAGTGCTGAATCTCCTTGCCTACTTGTATCTGGGAATTTAACTTTTTTTTGGGGGGGGGGGCGGAATTTAACTTTGACGAGGAAGAGAGTGAATATGAATAACTGAAAAATAAAATAGTGTAGTAGCACTTTGTATTTTTTACAGTATACTAGAATTTACCACTCCAGAACAGATTTGTAGGCTGTAGGACTGGACACGGGCCGTTGATCAAAACAGTTTAAAGGCTTTTTTGGGGAATTGCTGTTAAGACATTTATCACAGTCTTTATTAAATGTATTTATTGTTTTTGAGACAGGATCTCACTATGTCGCCCAGGCTGGAGTGCAGTGGAACAGTTCTTGGCTCACTGCAATCTTGGCCTTCTGGTTCAAGCGATCCTTCTGTCTCACCCTCCTGACTAGCTGGGACTACAGGCAGATACCGCCACGGCTAACTTTTTAATTTTTTTGTAGAGATAAGGTCTTGCTTTGTTACCCAGGCTGGTCTCCCAGCTCCGGGGCTCAAGCAGTCTTCCCTCCTTGGCCTCCCAAAGTGCCACCATTACAGGCATGAGCCAACATGCCCGGCCAACACAGTCTTTAGAATGTGATGACTTTTAGAGTAAAATTTAGAATAAAAATTGTTTAATATCTTTAGATCTGTGATCTACTCCAGGTGTTTTGTTTTAAATATTTGAACAGCTGCTGATGAGAAAACAGACCTTTCTAGGTGGAGATGACTTGCCCATGTTATGGTAGTTATGAGGGAAAGGACCATGTTTGTGTGCATGTGAGGGCACATGAGAATGTGACCTAATTGCTAGAGGTTTGTTCTTTTGGGAGGGTAGGGGTCATTTTAATGGTTGGAAGTTATTTAAGGTAGTTGACTCTGGTCACTTCTTAGTAGGTGAACAAGATGCTTAATGAAATGGTCAAAAAGATTGTTTTTCCTATATGTAAGCAAAAAAAAAAAAAAAAAAAAAAAGATTATGTGATGGCTAGGCATGGTTGCTCATGCCTGTAATCCCAGCACTTTGGGAGACTGAGGAAGGATGGCTTGAACACAGGAGTTTGAGACCAGCAAGACCCTGTCTCAAAAAAATATGAAATAAAATATGTAAAGACTGTGATAACTGTCACAACATAGTGAGACCATGTCTTGATCAGTTTTAAAAATGGTGACGAGAGACCAAAGATTTTCTCTGGAAGTCAATCATTAGGTAATTTCCAAAGTGTCTTGATAGTGGTGGTGTAGCTCAAGAGGCTCCTTTTGAATACCTCTTCAATTTGTAGGTATTTTCAGTTTTCTTAAATCTTGTTGGCAAATAGTCCCAGCTACTTGGGAGGCTGAGGCAGGAGGATTGCTTGAACCCTGGAGGCGGAGGTTGTGGTGAGCAGAGATTGTGCCATTGCACTCCAGCCTGGGTAACAGGAGCGAAACTCTGTCTCAAAAAAAAAAAAGTAAAACTACAGTTATTGGGAAATTTCAAATTGTTTTCTTTTGAGCAGACATAAGGTTGGTTTATAGAACTTGGTCCTATGTACGAATATGTAAAGGCATTGTAGGAATGTCCACTGTAGCTGTAGTTTAAAAGTATACATTTTATGCCAGGCATGGTGACGCACCCCTGTATTCCCAGAACTTTGGGAAGCTGAGACGGTTGGATTTCTTGAGGTTAGGAGTTCGAGACCAGCCTGGCAAATATGGTGAAACCCCATCCCTACTAAAAATACAAAATCAGCCAGGTGTGGTAGTGCATGCCTGTAATCCCAGCTATTCTCTAGGCTGAGGCAGGAGAATTGCTTGAACCCGGGAGGTGGAAATTGAAATGTGAGCCAAGATCGCACCACTGCACTCCATCCTTGGCGACAGAGTGAAACTCCGTCTCAAAAAAGTATGTATTTTGGTTAATGCTTATACATTTCAGTGCCTGTATTTGCCTTCTTATATTCTTTAAAGTGTAAACATTTTTCATAGTACAATAGAAAAGGATTATATATGTAAGGCATATTGTAATAAATGGTTAAGGCAGCTTACAGCTGTATTCTTTGGGACATTAGGGGTGAGGGATCAATATGTTCAGCATATTTAGAACCCTTCCCATATGCAAAGTCCACTGGTTTGGGAAGCTCTGCTTTAAAGCATTTATCACTTTGAAATAGTCCTAATAGGTTCAGCCAAAAAGGTATGTTTTACTGGGATAGCCAAAGACTTGGGAGTTATAGATATCTTTGGCCCACTACTCAAAGTAGTCATTTTACAACAAAGTATGATTAATAGGCTGGGCACGGTGGCTCATGCCTGTAATCCCAGCACTTTGGGAGGCTGAGGCGGGTGGATCACCTGAGGTCGGGAGTTGGAGACCAACCTGACCAACATGGAGAAACCCTTTTTTTTTTTTTTAAGATGGGGTTTCACCATGATGGCCAGGCTGGTCTTGAACTCTTGACCTCAGGTGATCCACCCACCTCGGCCTCCCAGAGTGCTAGGATTACAGGCGTGAGCCACCGTGCCCAGCTGAGAAACCTGTCTCTACTAAAAATGGAAAATTAGCCGAGCATGGTGGCGCATACCTGTAATCCCAGTTAGGAGGTTGAGGCAGGAGAATCGCTTGAACCCAGGAGGCAGATGTTGCAGTGAGATCATGCCATTGCACTCCAGCCTAGGCAACAAGGGTGAAATTCCATCTCAAAAAAAAAAGAAATGCTGAGTAAACTGTAAACATACTGTATGCTTAGCTGGGGTGCATTAGAGTACAGTGGAATATACCATATTTTGGTTCTTGAATGAGTAATTAGTGAGAAGGGGGGTTAGTTGATGCAAAATGGAGACTCATTTAGGCTTTCACTTTACCTTCTCTGGTCTTTACCTCTCTTTCATCCATTTATATTTTCTTGGTAACTTAAGTTACACATTAAGGTAGGTACTGGCCACAGTGTTTAACATTGAGAATTCAAAGAGAAATGATACTCCAATTTTGTCTTCTGGTCATATATAGGCTTGATAGGTGCACAGAGTGCTGTGGAAGAAGACAATAATGATTAAACTTGTGGAGGGTGTGGAGGTAGTTTACGGAAAATAACCCCAAATAGGAATTTGCCTCACTGGGGAGAGAGAGTCATTTCAAACAGAAGGAACTGTGGGTGCACTGCGGAGTCAAGTGTTAGGGGAAGAAGGCTAGTGTTAAGGTATGTTACTGGAACAGTGGGAATGACTTGATGAGCCTGCAAAGGTGGGTCTTGTCTAGATTTTGAAGGACCATGCTTGCTAAGCTAAAAATGAAGTTTATACCTGTATTTTATAGCAGAAGAGAGAGCCAAAACATTTTCAGCAGGGGATCAAGGTGATTTAGAGATCACTTTGGCATCCCTGTGGAGAATAGAGTGGAGGCCCTACAAGTAAAAATCACATTTGAGATAGTATAGAGTTAATGACTTTGAATGTATTTTTTTTCTTTTTCTTTTTTTTTTTTGAGATGGAGAATCACTCTGTCACCCAGGCTGGAGTACAGTGGCATGATCTCGGCTCACCGCAGCCTCCACTTCCTGGGTTCAAGTGATTCTCCTGCCTCAGCCTCCTGAGTAGCTGGGATTACAGACACCTGCTACCACAGCCAGCTAATTTTTTGGTATTTTTAGTAGAGAGGGTTTCACCATTGGTCAGGCTGGTTTCAAACTTCTGACCTCAAGTGATCTGTCTGCTTTGGCCTCCCAAAGTGCTGGAATTACAGGTGTGAGCCACCACACCTGACCTGAATCTGTTTTTAACTTGGATATGGTGTCTTCTGAGTCTGTGGTCCTTTCTGTAGTAGGCTTGAGGGCTATGCCTAGTTGCGCTATAATACAGGGTCATTTAAATTCAAAATGTCAGTATGTTTTGGAATAGGTTAAGAGCAGTCAAAACTATGAAAGTCATAAAATGGTACACATGAAGGTTCAGGTATGGAGAACACTTGTCTTCTGAGTTAGGCTTAGGCAGACTATAGAACTTAAGCTGGAAAATTCAATCCAGTGCCTACCTGAAATCAAAGCCACCAGACTTAAAAAGTTATCAGTATCCTGATGGTTTGCTAGGGTATGGGCTGTAAACATTTTGTGAAATTTTGGGGGAAGGCAGTCATCTCCCTAGTAAATTATTGGAATTGAAATAGAGTAGCTTAAAGTCTAAGAAGTCCTCATTCAGCTGTTAATTTATACAGTCAGTTCTGCTGTAAAGCAACGTACAGATTCCTATACATCACTACTTTGCAAAATCCTGTAGTAGAAATGACGGACAAATAGGATTGGGGTATACATGCTAAAGCGTTGTCAGTGACACATTTAAAAAACGAACCTGGGCTGGGCATGGTGGCTCATGCCTGTAATCCCAGCACTTTGTGAGGCCAAGGCGGGCAGATCAAGAGGTCATGAGATTGAGACCATCCTGGCCAACATGGTAAAATGCCTTCTACCCTGTCTTTAAAAAAAAAAAAGAGAAGAAAAAAAGGCCGGGCATGGTGGCTCACACCTGTAATCCCAGCACTCTGGGAGGCCGAGGCAGGTGGATCACCTGAGGTCAGGAGTTTGAGACCAGCCTGACCAACATGGAGAAACCCTGTCTTTAAAAACAACAAAAAACCTTCTCTACTGAAAACTACAAAAATTAGCTGGACATGGTGGCTTGTGCCTGTAACCCAGCTACTTGGGAGGGTGAGGTAGGAGAATTACTTGAACCAGGACTCGGGAGGCAGAGGTTGCAGTGAGCCAAAGTCGAGATTGTGCTACGCACTCCACTCCAGCCTGGGCTACAGAGTGAGACCTCATCTCAAAAAAAAAAAAAAAAGAAAGAAAGAAAGAAAGGAACCTGGTAAAAATGATAGAATAGTTTTACACATGTTGAATAGTTAAGGAATATGTAGATACTGTAATAAATGTGGCATTTTGCCTTTTGTTTTTATTTATTTGTTTTCTTAATTATTTTTTTTTCTGAGAGTATTCCAGGTAAGCATTTTGCCTTGAAGAAGGCCTGGTTTGCTTGTGGAAAGGGAAGTCAGAAAGGTTGCAGCTTATGAGTTTGCTGTGAAGTGGTAGAAGGAGAGTTATTACCTCTAATCTGATGGAAAGTGGTAACACTAGAAGCGAATGGGTGTGGCTCTTAACACAGAGTGAACTGACTTAGCTGGTAGGTGTTTGAAGTGTGTTTCTTGTATTTCTACAAAGTTCAGTTTGGCTGGATGCAAGTTTTTTACCTTCATCTAGTGTTTACATGACAAAATAGCACATAAATAAACAGAAAATATGCATTGTGCTCAAATTCTCTAATTTGTGTATCAATCACATTGGAACAAATTCTCCTTTCCTTTTCCTTTCTTGTCAGGGTCTCACTCTGTGTCACCCAGGCTGGAGTAATCATGGCTTGCTGCAGCCTTGACCGCCCAGGCTCACGTGAGCCTCCTGAGTAGCTGGTATCACAGGTGTGTGTCACCACACCTGGCTGATTTTTCTTATTTTTAGAGGTCTCTCTATGTTGCCCTGTTTGGTCTCACACTCCTGGGCTCAAGCAGTCCTCCTGCCTTGGCCTCCCAGTGTGCCGGGATTATAAGAGCCACTGCACCTGGCCAAATTCATGTTTTCAAAACAAGTGTTACAGATGATTATACTTGTTTAGTACTGTTTTTAAATAGTACTAAAACTCAGTTTCAAAAATACTTGTTGAACAACCTGTGTGTCAGGTACCATGCTACCTTTGTGGGGCTGGCAGTCTTTTGTACCAAATAGGTTTATAATGTGGAGAAAGACAAATGAACCAATACAGCACTCATCAGGTTATACAGTAATAAGGAATGCACAAAACATTTTGGGTATGGTAAGGAAGGAGAAACTTACTCTGCTTGGAAAACCCACAGAGTCATCTCAGAGGTCTTTAAGCTGAGTTTTAAAGGATGAATAGGGATTTGTCAGGTTGAGTAGGACAAGGAGAAGGAGCAGCATGTTGGGAACAACTTGGGCTGTGGAGCATAGGACACAGGAATGAGAGGGATGGGAAGACTGTTCAGAAACAGCTTGTAAATGGTTGTAGGCTTTTTCATTAAGTGTTGGGATTTCCTCCTGTATATGACTGAAATCCAGTGAGTTTAGGTGGATGGGGGGAGCAAATGGTGCATGTAACATCCTTTTTTTTTTGGAGACGGAGTCTTGCTCTGTCGCCAGGCTGGAGTGCAGTGGCGCAATCTCGTCTCACTGCAGCCTCCGCCTCCTGGGTTCAAGCGATTCTTCTGCCTCAGCCTCCCGAGTAGCTGGGACTACAGGCGCGTGCCACCACACCCGGCTAATTTTTGTATTTTTAGTAGAGACAGGGTTTCATCACGGCAAGGATAGTCTCCATCTCTTGACCTCGTGATCCGCCCGCCTCCGCCTCCCAAAGTGCTGGGATTACAGGCGTGAGCCACCGTGCCCGGCTGTAACATACTTTTTTTAGGAAGCCCATGATGAAAATGTAGAAGCTGGATTAAAGGAGTCACAGTTCATTTACAACCTGTGAGAGCTCAAGTACGTCAGCTTAGGGGATAGAAAAGCATAGGATACCAGAATTAGGGACAGACAAGCCATGAGCTATAATAATAGGGAAGAATGAATACGATTCAGAAGTTGTTTAGCTTGGAGAACTGTTGGTACAGTTCAACTTTGGAAATAGAACAGAGTTGGACAAGGAAATTAGAATAGTTTGAATTTTGATCCTGTTAAGTTTGACGTACCTCTTGGATATATCTAACAGGTATCTGGACCAGAGCGTGGTTTGGGGTTTGATAGATTTGGTCATTGTATAGTTGGCATTGGAAGTTAGGGGATTACTCAGGAAGAGTGTGTGAACAAATATTTTTTACCTTTTTGGCAGAGGTAAGATCCCCATTTGAGAATTGGTTGAGAATTATGGACTCTGCTGAAGAGAATGAAAGTATGCACATACACAAGTGTGAAACTTAACTCATGGACCACAAGAGGAGAGGACTAAGGGAACCCTAAGGAACAACTAATATTTCATTCTGGACTAAAATGGTTAAAGAGATAAGGGCAGAACAGGAGAGAGTAATGTTATAGATGCCAAGAGGTCATAGTGCCAAGAAATGGAGTTTTCAGTAGTGATCATTGTGCCCAGGTTTAGGGTGTGATGAGGAGATCTGGAAATGGATTGATAGGATTTGGCAGGTGGGGAATGAAAGCAGGGAAAATTTTGATGGGACCAGGGGATATGTAAGTCAGACTGTAGATTGGGCTGAGGAGCCAATGGGAGGTTAAGATGAAGGTTATAGACTACTATTTGGAAAAATTTAACTAGAAGAGAAGGAAAGAAGGGTAGTAGTTTAAAGAGGAGACAGGGTTGAGAGAAGGTAGGCACCTGTGTTAGTCACCAGCTTTGTTTCCTTAAGTCCAAAACTTAGCAAATAAATTTCTGACATATATTGCATGTATGTTTTTCAGATGTTCCCCTGATCTATTAGTTGAAATGATTGTATTTTTATTTGGTCACACAAAATTGTTTTGCCTGTGGAATTTTATGTGATTTCAAAATCAATAAAAAAATTCTTCCTCATTAGAGGTAGAGATTATCTGCTGTAAAATTATAATATTAAAATCTTTTTTTTTTTTTGAGATAGAGTCTTGCACTTTCGCCCAGGCTGGAGTGCAATGGTTCAATCTTGGCTCACTGCAACCTCCGCCCCCCAAGTTCACGCGATTCTCCTGCCTCAGCCTCCCGAGTAACTAGGATTACAGGTGCATACCACCACACCCAGTTAATTTTTTTTTTGTATTTTTAGTTGAAACGGAGTTTCATTATGTCGGTCAGACTGATCTTGAACTCCTGACCTCGTGATCAGCCCGCCTCAGCCTCCCAAAGTGCTGGGATTACGGGCGTGAATCACTGCGCCCAGCTAATATTACAGTCCTCGGCCTTTAGTTACTAGAAGAAGATTTGCTTTCATATGCCCTGTGCTAGGTTTGCACTTGTGTTGTGCTTCATTGCCCAAACTTTGATTAAATATTTGATGCAGTTTTAAGTGTAAAATAGTAGGTAAGAGAGAATCATTAGACATGGTCATTTTCTTTCCAAGTTATTACTGCAAACACGTAGAGACTTAATAAAACAAATTATCCAGTGGCTCCATGTATCCAAATACAGAGTATTACTGGTGATTCTTTAGGTACATGGAGTGATTAAATATAGTTTTACCCGTCAGATTTTGATTATAGGGAGATAGATATATTAGTAGTCTTCTAATTAAAGACTAAACAGAGATGATGATGTGACTTGACTAAATTAAATCAAAAATTTTATTGCACTTAGCATTTTGGGAGGCAAATTTTTTCTTCTGTAAGATTATGTATTGTTAAGTAAACACTTCAGCATCATAAAACAATGTTTGATGGAGCTGACTTCCTTTGTTGATCTAAAACTACAACAATGAAAACTAATTTATTTGAGACTAAAGAATTGTCATTTGGTTTTAGTTTTGTGGAAACTACAGAAACTCAAAGATTTAGGGGTTCGTAACCACTGAAGAAAATAGTATTGAATGCTAGTGGTGCAGTGGGCTCTGCCTCTTTACATGTATGTACCTCATTTAATCCTCACATCAAAATTGTGATGCGTAGATATCACCAATTTATAAGTGAGGAAATTTAAGCATTAAAGATGATTATAAGCCCATCATTTCAAGCCAGGACTTGATACAGGTCTGACTCCAGTTTGTATTCTTTTTTTTTTTTTTTTTTGAGATGGAGTTTTCACTCTTGCCTCTTGTCCTCCAGGCTGGGGTGCCCTGGTGTGATATTGGCTGACTGCAACCTCTACCTCCTGAGTTCAAGCAGTTCTCCAGCCTCAGCCTCCTGAATAACTGGTATTACAGGTGCGTGCCACCACGCTAGGCCAATTTTTTGTATTTTTAGTAGAGATGGGGTTTTGCCATGTTGGCCAGGCTGGTCTCAAACTCCTGACCTCAAGTGGTCTACCCACTTCAGCCTCCCAAAATGCTAGGAGTACAGGCGTGAGCCACCATGCCCGACTCCAGTTTGTATTCTAACTGACACTGTGCCCTACTTCCTTTTTTCTCTTAACAGACTCCCAGGGTGTTATGACTTGGAATGGTCCTTTGAGGTTAATTTGATAATATAGGAAGACCCAATTATTGCCCCAAATTTATAACCACTTATACTAGTAGTTCATCATGTTGACATAATGGAGCTAAGCGATAGAATCTTTGTTAATATTTGTGATTCTCTTTTTGGTTATGTATCAAAAACTTCCTGAGAGTCCACATAAGATTACTCTTCATGCTAGTCAAAAATTCAGTTAAAAAGCATTTCATTATTTTGGAAAAGGCAGTCTGTTATGCATCTGTAGTCAAAAAGCAGTGTGTAGTGTTAACATTTTCTGAAACATTATCAGTGGCCTTAGAGTAAGATTTTAGTATTGTTTATTTTATTTTATTTTATTTTGAGATGGAGTTTTGCTGTTGTTACCCAGGCTGGAGTGCAATGACACAATCTCGGCTCACAGCAACCTCCGTCTTCTGGGTTCAAGCAGTTCTCCTGCCTCAGCCTCTCAAGTAGTTGGGACTACAGGCTCGTACCACCATGCCCAGCTACTTTTTGTATATTTTTAGTAGAGACGGGGTTTCACCATGTTGACCAGGATGGTCTCTATCGTTTGACCTCGTGATCCACCCGCCTTGCCCAAAGTGCTGGGATTATAGGCGTGAGCCACTGAGCCCAGCCGATTTTAGTATTGTTAAAAGCTTCTTGATGCTTTGTAAGGTTGACATTTTATGAATAATTTTCTTAGTTTTTTTTTTCTTTTGAAGCACTGTGGTTTGTATATATATATATATATATATATTTTTTTTTTTTTTTTTTTAAGACAGAATCTCACTCTTTTTTTTTTTGAGACGGAGTTTCGCTGTTGTTACCCAGACTGGAGTGCAATGGCACGATCTCAGCTCACCGCAACCTCCGCCTTCTGGGTTCGAGCAATTCTTCTGCCTCAGCCTCCCAAGTAGCTGGGACTACAGGCGTGCACCACCATGCCCAGCTAATTTTTATATTTTTAGTAGAGACGGGGTTTTGCCTTGTTGACCAGGATGGTCTCGATCTCTTGACCTTGTGATCCACCCGCCTTGACCTCCCAAAGTGCTGGGATTATAGGAGTGAGCCAATGCGCCTGGCCCCAGAATCTCACTCTTTTGCCAGGCTGGAGTGCAGTGGCGCAATCTCAGCTCACTGCAATCTCTAACTCCCTGGTTCAAGTGATTCTCCTGCCTCAGCCTCCCCAGCAAGTAGCTGGGATTGCAGGCAAACGGTGTCACGCCCAGCTAAGTTTTTGTATTTTTGGTAGACGGGGTTTTACCATGTTGGGAAGGATGGTCTTAATCCCCTGACCTCGTGATCCTCCCATCTTGGCCTCCCAAAGTGCTGCGATTACAAGTGTGAGCCACGCGCCTGGCTTCTTTCTTAGTTTTAAGGGGAAAAGACTAGTGGTTCAAAACTGATTGCTAGTACATTACAACTTCCCAAGTCATTGTGTATCTGAATTAGCAGCTAGAATAAATGTTGAATGGCTCAAAAGACCAAAATTCCTAATAGATAATAGTACTTAGAATATTATGATTCATTGTAAGGTAGATTTTGGAAAGTCTGGCAAAAGGTAAGAAAAATGCAAAGATTCATGTTGGCATAAATGTTAGGGTAGTGAAGCTATAAGTGAAATGGTGGCTGCTTGTCTCTTGCTTAGAGTTAAGATTTAGGATTGATGACTTCCCCACTCTTTACCTTTTTAATCTTGGTGAGAGTTTTGCAACACAAATTGTAGCTTTGACTTAATACCTTACATATTAGTATGCAGACTTTAAATAGAGATTTGCAAAACAGTGAGACAGTGTCACTCTTCTCACTAAATTTTACTTGTTTTTAAAAAGTTTTCATAAAAGTGTCATTTAACATGTGATAGGTTTATTACTGTTACTGAGTTCATAAATATTTTAAAAGTTCTCAGTTCTGATTTGATTATTTATTTCTTTTTTTTGAGACGGAGTTTTGCTCTTGTTACCCAGGCTGGAGTGCAATGGCGCGATCTCGGCTCACCTCAACCTCCGCCTCCTGGGTTTAAGCAATTTTCCTGCCTCAGCCTTCCGAGTAGCTGGGACTACAGGCGTGCACCACCATACCCAGCCAATTTTTTTGTATTTTTAGTAGAGACCGGGTTTCACCATGTTGACCAGGATGGTCTCGATCTCGTGACCTCGTGATCCACCTGCCTCGGCCTCCCAAAGTGCTGGGATTATAGGCATGAGCCACCACGCCTGGCCTCTTATTTTATTATTGATAGCTATAACTCACATCAGTGAAAGCTCTAAGGTACTAGTTAATTTTTTTTTTTTTTGGACGGAGTCTTGCTCTGTCACCAGGCTGGAGTGCAGTGGCGTGATCTCAGCTCACTGCAGCCTCTGACTCCCAGGTTCAAGTGATTCTCCTGCCTCAGGTTCCTGAGTAGCTGGGATTACAGGCATGTGGCACCACACCCAGGTAATTTTTGTGTTTTTAGTAGAGACAGGGTTTCACCATGTTGGAAAGGATGGTCTTGATCTGATCTTGTGATCCCCGCCTCAGCCTCCCAAAGTGCTGGGATTACAGACGTGAGCCACTGTGCCCGGCCAGTACTAGTTTGTGTGTGTGTGTGTGTGTGTGTGAGACGAAGTTTTGCTCTTGCTCTTGTTGCCGAGGCTGGAGTGCAGTGGCACAATCTTGGCTCAGTGCAACCTCTGCCTTCCGGATTCAAGTGATTCTCCTGCCTCACCCTCCTGAGTAGCTGGGATTACAGGCATGCACCACCACACCCAGCTAAGGGTTTCTCCATGTTGTTCAGGCTGGTCTTGAACTCCCGACCTCAGGTGATCCACCTGCCTCAGCCTCCCAAAGTGCTGGGATTGCAGGCATGAGCCACTGTGCCCGGCTTGGTACTGGTTAATTTTTAAGAGTGCAAAAGGGTTCTGAGATGGTAGTGTTTTGCGATCTGCTAAGTGTATTGTGGAGGGTTTGGGACTATAGAGTATAGATGAGGAGGTTAATTTGGGAAATATAATGCATCTGAGAAATAAACAAGGGGCTGATGATCCCAGCCACATAATACCTGGATAATGAACAGAAGATATTGGTTTTGTAAGTGATAGAATTCTTGAGAATGAGGCTGCAGTAGAATAGAAAGACTTTAGCTTTGCAGTTACATTGTCCCTGGTTCAAATCTCAGCTCTACAACTCAGTTACTAGGAGTGTGCAATCTTGGGCAAATTATATAAACTCTGGGTCTCAGTTTCCTCTTCTATAGAATGAAGGTAGAATCAGCCTTGTGGGTTGTTATGAGAATTAAGGTCATACAGGTAAATTATTGTATAGTAGTTGAAAGCACAAACTTCAGTCAGACTTGGGTTGAAATATCAGTTGTGCCATTTACTATCCCTGTGACCTCAGGAAAGTTACTTATTCTCTGGATCTTTTTTCTTTATGTAAGGATTATAATAGTGTCTGCTTACAAGAGTATCAAGGGTTAAATGAGATAAAGCATGTTAAGTGCTGGATAGATCTGGTGGGTAATGAGTGCTCACAGAATACTTGGCTGCTGTATGCCTACTGCAGTACATGGCAGATAGGTGCACAACACACTTTTGCCATTACAACTCTGCGTTTGATGTTTGCTCTCATCTTGCTATAGCATGTCACAGGATAGAGTTTGTATAGTTTAACCTTGAAGTTTGTCCCCTTGCTGCTTATCTCAGGCTATCCCAGAACCAGTGTTACTAGTTTCCTTGGATATGGAAGTCCTTTCTGTCTCTTTTCTCTAGATTTTGCCTTTTAGATAATAGTTTTTCTTATTCCTAGTAAGATAGGCTCTGCTTTTAAGGCTTCTTTTGCACTCTTACAAAATGTTTGCTTTTATATTATCATGGCTTCTTCATTTGAATTCATATAGGCATTACCTGAATATTTGCTAAGCTCTGGAGTTATAACAATACTTAGAATATAAGTGCAAGGAGCCTGTATTATAGAAGGCGAGATGAAAAAAATATTAAGGCAGGGTTAATGAATACAACAGTAGACCTTTTCAAGGTTTAACATAGCTCACAGCTGGAAACAGTAAACTGGTGTGGGAGTGATACAGAAGAAGGTTGTAATAGACCTTTTGAAGTTGAATGTCTGAGTTGGCATTTGAAAGATGGCTAGGGGCCTTTTAGTGTCTGGGGCATTTCAGGCAGAAGCAATAGCATTGCTAAGGCATGAAGGTTTGTAAGGGGTAAGTGGGAATTAGGGAGATCCAAGATGATACTAGGGAGGTATAAAGAGATCAAGTCAAATTCAACTTACTTGTTTTGTAAATGAGCCTGGTTTTTCTATTTCCAAGGGTATTGAGATGAACAAGATACAGTTTTAGGGGCCCAGTGAGGTGGCTCACATCTGGACTCCTAACCCTTTGGGAGGCCCAGGTGGTCAGATTACCTCAGGTCAGGAGTTCGAGACCAGCCTGGCCAACAAAGTGAAATCTCATCTCTACTAAAATACAAAAAATTAGCCAGGCATGGTGTTGTGTGCCTGTAATCCCAATACTTGGGAGGCTGAGGCAGGAGAATGGCTTGAACCTGGGAGGTGGAGTAAGCTGAGATAATGCACTCCAGCCCGGGTGACAGAATGAGATTCTGCCTCAGAAAAAAAAATTTTTTTTTTTTTTAGCTGGGTATGGTGGCCTGCACCTGTAGTTTCAGCTACTTGGGGGCTGAGATGGGAGGATCACTTGAATCTGGGAAGGTTGATGGTGCAGCTAGCCATGACTGTGCTACTGCACTCCAGTCTGGGCAACAGAGTG